TACTGGGCTTTGGGGAGAAAAAAAAATAATAATAAATTACCTAATTCTTAGTCCCAGTTTTCACTTTGGTAGTGTCAGTATTTGAAGTATTTAAGGTAACAAAATTATGGCTTTGCCAGTATATACACATCTTATTTTTAAAGTAGTTGAATAATTGGTAACTACTTCCCTATGCCTCGGGGCACACTCAATAAAGTTGCACATAATAGATGTCCAATAATTATTCATTTCATTTTAATTAATTTCTCCCCACTCTACTCACTAGAGCAAGTAGACCTAGTCCAAGTCAGCGAGGCTTGCCTCCCAGTTTTTTGAACTACATTGGCACTTAAAAGCAGACTGGAAAAAAATTGAAAATCAAATTAAAGTAAGAGTTGAAAAGAAGTTGGGGACTGGCTGAGAGCTAAGCTTTTGGCTAATATTCTTGTTCCGTTTCTTGTTTTAAACAACATAGTCTTACACATTATTGCATTTGTATTTCTTAAAAGTCCAACTCTGCTGGCTGGGCCGGCTTCTCTTCTCTTCAGAGATCTCATTCTAACTCAGTCTCCTTGCCCTGTGCTAGTCTGAAGCTTTCTCATCTCCCTCGCAGGTGAAATGCCAACTCCGCTTCATTGTTGCCCTCAATTTGTTTCCCAGCTCGGTGTGCTTTTCACTCCTAGACTAGGGGTGCTTCGGGTGTGGGCAGATATCTCTAAGGCTGAGGATCACAGTGAAACGCCATGATCTAATGCCTGTTGAATAACTGAGGCGGGAAGGGGGGCTACAGGACAATGGAGGGAAATCAGTAGTTTGAAAGTTCCTTAATAGAAGGGTCTAAGCCTTCCTTTCCTTTCCTCTTGCCCCTCTTTCCCCAAGCTGAGAACTCCCTCTCTTGCCTTGTCGGTTTCCCATATTCTTTGGCCTTTAGGCTGGGATACTACCACCTGTCACAATGCCAGGTATTTTGAATGAGCCAATTTCTCTGTCCTTGGCTCTTATTAAGAATTAGCCAATGTTTCTCAGAAGAAGAAAACACCCTAGAATCTAGACATATGATTAAATGAACCTAATGTATGCTGAATGATTAATTTGCTGGTTTGTGCAAACGTTGGACACGAGCATCAATGTTATCCTTTTCATGTAAATGTCCACTTTATTTGAAATCCAGTAAAGGGAAACTAAGCAATAATGCGTATTTAAATTTCTTTTGAGTTCTGACAGATGACCTTTCGAAATTGTTAAAAAAAAAAAAAGAAAGAAAGAAAAGCTGTATTTGGAGTTAAAAGCCCTAGATTAAGGCCCCAATTTCTTCAAACTGTGTAACAGGAGATCAGGCACTTAACCTTTCTCAAGGTGTCTCCATTGTTTTGTCTGCAGGTTGATATCAACCTGCTTTACTGATGATGATCAGGATGATCAACCTGATGAGGTTGATATCACCTGCTTTACTGAAGTCAATTCTCTCATCCCCTCACTGGTAGAAGCATTCTGTGTAATGAGAAGTATGCTCAGTCCCTTTTTACCTTAATCTTACAATTATACCTTAATCTTACCAACTCTTACCTTTTCTAGTCAATAAGCTTCAAGTTGCTCAGACATTGCCTGACACAGAATCAGCCCATTCTGTAGAAGAGCAGCCTTGAATCTGGAAGATTTAAGCAGCCTATCTGCACTGCATATTTTTAAAAAATTTTTGAAACACAATATATATTGCTTTGCTTTGTGGGTTTTTTTAAATTTGGGGGCTTTTTTTGCATGCCTTTTATTACATTTTTTTCTTCTTTTGAACAGGATAAAACAAAAAGTGAAAATCACTCATTCCTAGTCCCCAAACCTATCTACCAGAGATGACCACTATTAACAGCGCGCTCCGTATTTTAAGAATTTTATCTATGTTTATCATATTAGTGCAAGTAGGCTAATTACCATAACAAATAGACAAAAATAAAAATGTGTAAGAGCCCTAAGGTAACTGAAGTTTCTTCCTGTTCACGGGACAGTACCGGGTGGATGCGCAGGTGGGCGGGGCAGCCCTTCTCTATCTATCACCCAGGGATCCAGGCTCAGATCCAGAGGTGCTGCCGTCTTCAGCTCTTGTTCACACTCACCCTGGAGGCCATCTCTATTCCAACTCACTGTGCTTCAGTTACGTACAGATTTTCTTTCTCTTGGTGTCCCCAGCTTCCTGGCAGGATAGCTAGCTTGCCTCCTGCACACTTGGGCCATAATTGCTTAACTCAACATTGTGTGGTTCAAATTCACCCTCACAGGCATACTCAGAACTCATTCAAATTTGGACTCTTCTTTCACCCTTCTACTCTTATCAGAGGTTCTTCGGTACTGACCTCTACTCCTCCTTGCCTCCTATCTGTAAAAATGATACCCCCTGAAGTCACTTCTAACATCTGTCTCCATTTAGCTAAACTACTGACGGTCCATGCCCCTTCTCCTTCTTTGCTTCAGCAGAGATTTTATTTGTCTAGCTTTATTGAGATATAATTGACATTGTGTGAGTTTAAAGTGTACAATGTGTTGGTATGATACACATATATTGCAAAATAATTACCACCATAGCATTAGCTAACTCCTCCATCCCATCACATAATTACCATATCTTTTTTGTGGTGAGAACATTTGAGATCTACTCTCTCAGCAACCTTCAAGTATATAATACAGTATTATTAGCTATAATCACCATACGGTACGTTAGATCCCAAGAACTTGTTAATCTTATAACTGGAAGTTTGTACCCTTTGACCAATATCTCCCCATTCCCCTCTACCCCCCGCCCCTGATAACTACCACTCTGCTCTCTCTTTCTCTAAGTTCAGCATTTTTAGATTCCACATGTAAGTGATATTATACAGTATTTCTCTTTCTCTCAGCAGAGAGTCTTTAAAAGTCACTGGTGAGCAAGTGTTTAGCTGACTGTCTTCTTACCTCAGAAAGTGGCTTCTTTTCCCTGGTGTTTTCTTGTGGCATCTCTTACCCATCTTTCCATTTTTTCACTCTTTCATTTTCTCCAAGAAATCTCTCTCCTCTTTTGTGTCTCCCTCTCTCTTCTTGCTGCCTCTCCCACCTCTTTCTTCTCTTACAGCCGCCATGTTGGTTGCCAGCCTCATTTATCAGCTGTAACCAACAGCAGTGTTTCATTCCCCTTCATTCTCTACCTCTAAAGCTGATTCAGTTGGGCTACACTCCCTTTCACTGTGACATTCTCTTGGGCCACTCACTAAAGTCTACTTGTTCAACAATAGTGTCTCATGGAGCAATTTTCCAGACTGCAAACCACACTCAGTTTCCAAATTCTTCTAACTGGTTTACGTTTGATTGATAGCAGTTCAAACCCTTCTCCCCAAATGGAAAGCTCTGGCAAGGAGTTTATTGCTCACCTTACAGGGAGCGAGCACCTGACTCAGCAGTGTGATAGTCTCTTAAAGGAGAAGGCAGGATAGCTATGAGATGATAGAGTAGGGTAGCCAACCGGGCTAGTTTTCCCAGGACACAGGGAGTTCCAGGGATATAGGGCTTTTAGTTTCAAAGTAGGACAAAATCTAAAAGTCTTGTTTAAAGTGGGTCTTTCCACACAGGGTCTTGGTTAGGTAAGGATCGTGATATGATAGTCTAGAATTAGTGGACACAGCAAAGCAAAGATTTTGAGGTGAGGGATTCTGAGAGTCTTGGGATATAAACTGTTGATGCTTTCTGTTGAAGCATTGATGGGTCTTTCAAGAAGTTCCTGTAATGAACAATAAACTTATTTGCCTGGGCAAAAGTTACGCTAACGAAGACAATGGACCAATAGGTTATATTAATACAGACAGTAAACTGAGTTGGGGGAGGGGGTAGATGGTTTCTGTTCTCAGAGTTAATTCCATCCTCTCTTTTCCAAGGGCTGTTTCATAGTCAATGTTCTTAGTCCAATACCAAACCTAGCATTTTGTTTTGTTTTAATTTTGTACAAACATTGCAGCATCTCCAACCCCCAGTCTTTGACATCTCTTCTTTCATTCCACTCAGGAGGATAACAATTATAAAACTATCATTTATAGAGCCTTCATTGCATGCTAGGCCACATGTCAAACCACTTATAGGCATTATTTAATCCTCACAAGAGTCCTATGAAACAGGTGCTGTCATGGTCCCTATTTTACAGATGAGGAAACTATGGCTCAAAGAGATCAAGGAACCTACCCAAGGTCATGTATCCAGAAGTGGCAGAGCCAAGATTTGATCTCAGTTCTGTCTGACTGTTCAGCGATAAAAAGGAGCAAACTACTCATATATGCTACAACATGGACAAACCTCACATTGTGCTAAATCAAAGAAGCCAGACTCTTTTAACCAATCTACAAATGTTGAATACATTTAATTTTACCAGTGATAGCCCATTTCTAACAGTCACTGATTTCACTAATGCTACTGTGCATTTTGCTTAGCATCTATATAAACCTAAGTGTGTAAGTAACAGACATACATGAGATCACACCACATGTGCTGAAGAGTCTTAAATTACTGACATAGAAAAATAAACCCAAATGAGCTGTTAAGACTCACTACATCCACTCCCTCTGAAATAGCAATTGACACAGGAACCTTTATTGACTTGCTGTCATCCATCATGTGATCCGTGCAACCTCCCACTCCAGGGCCAGGACACTTGCTATGGTTAATAATAAAGATATCTGTCTTCCACAAACCACTGGAGGGATTTTCTTTTCTATTTAGATATAAAAGGGGGGAAAAAAGCTCTGAGACTACAATTAAGGAAAGGTGGCCCATAAATTCAAATGGACCGAGACTAAGTCAAGGATGAGAGACGGCTGAACAGCCACTGAGTCCCTGCGAGGAGCCAGGAGTAGCTCGCTGTTGATGGGACGGACTCCTGGCAGGAACAGTCCCTGGGGCACCAAATGTGCGTTCTTCTTGTGAACACTTGTTCAACCTGATTTATGTTGTTTGACCTTTGAGAAGACAGAAATGGGTTATGGTGAATATGTTTCCTGTAACTTTTACAGAGAGATTCGGAATACCAGAAGCTTAACTTACATAGAGCCTGGGGCCCTAAAAGAGCTTCCCCTTCTGAAGTTCCTGTAAGTATGAACTCCTCTCTCATCCTACCTTTTTTCTTTTCTTTTCTTTTCTTTTTTAAAGAGAATTATAATGCTGTTGTCTTCCAAGGATCTCCCTGGGATGTTGTGGGCCAGGGTCATTTTAGTGGTATAAGGCCTGGGGCAAATCATATCCTGTGACTTACTCCTACCCTTTCGCATCAGGCAAGGCATCAGGTGAAATGATCCACATTTTAAAAACTTCTTCAAAAGTCAGCACATAGTGCTGGGACCAGAGACCTACTCCAAGAGATATGAGGGAGAAAATGCCATCGTGTATTAAAAATTTAAATTTAAAAATTTAAAAAGTCTTTAAATTGAGTATAACAGAACAAAACAAAAAACTCTGAGAACATATTGGTCAGTTTTATTGGGAAATGGGTATCGCAATATTAGAGTGACTGTTACACAGCAAAAAAAAAAAAAAAAAAAGCCACAAATGGTAAAATCCAATCTCTTAGAAGTTGGGGGGACAAAAACGGAAGGGACAGTACTTACTGCTTTGGTTTGGTGACACCTTATGAGCTAACCATAACGTCCATGAGAGCAGGGACCACAACGTTTTTGTTCTCTATTGCATCTTTACTGCCTAGCACAGATTAGGTGCTCAATAAAAATACTTTCAGTGGATGTATACATATGGCCTCAGGTTCTCTCGGCATCAGCTGGAAGAACCCTTCCTTTCTCCTCTTCTTTCCTGCTCACACACATTGCAAAAGATTAGAACACAAAAACAGTATGAGGAAAAAATAAAAATCAACCTTAATCCTAATACCCAGAAATAATCACTATTAACATATTAGTTCATTTCCATTTAGGGATTTTAAATAAAAGTGTACATCCCTATATATATTTTATGAAATAGGTCTTTAAGGATGAATAGAAATTATCTAGGAAAAGGAGGGAGAGAGGTAGACGAGAACTACAGGTGGATGGAATAACATAATAAAGACAGAAAGGTATGGAACCACAGGGCTTATTGGGGAAGTAAAAATAGTTCAGTATTGAGGAGGTGAGAATGGGAGATGATGGGAGAACAAAAGAGGATATTGATGGGATATATGGATGAAGGCATATTTGGAGAGCAATAAAAACTTATGGGACAAGGCAATCACTCCTGTATGGACTCTGAGCTTCAGTCAATAATTCTGACATGATGATCTTCTACTATGTGCAAGGCTCTGTGGAGAGCACACAGGATTATTAAACATTGTCCTTGCCTTCAAGAAGCTTACAATTTAGTTGGAGAGATGTTGTATATGAAATTAAAAGTTTCCTCCTATAGGAGAATAATGATAAGTGACAAATGAGAGGTACACACAGTATTTGAGGGTACAGATAATTAGAGGAGACATCAAAAAGGAGATGGGACTTGGTTTGGGGTTTTGAAGAATAGAGAGGTGCTGGTCCAAGTCCCTAATCTGGCATTTGCAACACTTTCTTATATGGCCCCAATTTAGCTCCTGGGCCTTCCCCCGACCCCCGTTCTTCTGCAAGAACCCCTATTGCAATTGAATTAGTTTGTTTACTGATTTTCAAACATACCTTATGGAATCTCATCTCGCTCCTTTATCTGAAATATCCTATTTGCTCTTTTTGAGACCTCCAGCTCCTGCTGCTTCTTCAAATGCTATGCCTTCCCCTCTAGCAGGAGTCAAGTCTGAATTTGCCTTAAAAGGGTGTCAATGGAACTAGGGTTTTCTCTACTGGAAAACTTTCTTTAAAGCTTTATTGGTTTGTCTAGGTCTCACCCCATGCCATGCCAAACATCTCAAAAAAAATCTCTGCTTCCACTACCTACATTCTAGTAGCTGCAACAAATGGTGGACCAACTAAATCTGAGAGGCATCAGGAGCCTGAGAGTTTTTGTATTCATGCTGTTTGATGCACATCTCTTAATTTTGACATTTTGCCCCGATGACACAAACATTGGAAAATGAAGATGTTGTCTTTGACTGATTTCCTTCCCTGTCTGGACATATTTTTTAACTGCTGCCGTGGTACTCCCAGGTGACTGCCATGGGGAAACCATTCTTGGAAAATACGAACACAGTATAATACAGAGTTTGAAAGAAGAAGCCTGACTTGGAGTTGGGTAATTATATTGTCTTCCTGCCCCCTCCTCCCCTTATTCTACACCCCACCTCACACACGTAACGTGCTCCAATTAAAACAAGGAAATACACGCACGTACACACACACACACACACACGGAAGAAACCTGAATTCCTATTTCTAGGAATCTCACTTGGTTCAAACAATCCCCAGATTCTTCTAAACAGAAGAGATGTTTTGACACTGCTGGACTGGCTTGGATTCTTGCACCTGGACAGAACGTAATCTCATCCAAGGGTTAGAGCTTGCCCACGAGCACTGAGATATTTAGCGAAGGAGCCAGGATTTGACTCCTGTCTGACTTCAGAATCTATTTTACTTCCTATGTGTTGATTCTTACCTAATTTCTGTTCTTTTTTTCTGCTTTTTCATTACTTTAGTGGCATTTTCAACACTGGACTTAGAGTGTTCCCTGACCTGACCAAAGTTTACTCCACTGATGTATTCTTTATACTGTAAGTATGCATACATGCAATGTTCGGCAATATTTTATTTGTCACTGACAAGAACTAGGGTGCAGCCATGGGGATTGGTTGGAGCCAAGTGAAGTGATTGTTTCAAGAAGGAAGCAGTGATCAGCTGTGGCAAATACACTGATGGATGAAGTAAGGCAAGGACTGGGAAAAAGCCATTGGGTTTAGTAATGTGGGGCAATGGTGATTCTGACAAGGAGAGTTCCAGTAGAGCACTGTGGGTGGAGAAGTCTCGTTGGAATGGGCTTAAGAGAGAATCAGAGAGAGAGAATTAGAGAGGGTAAAAGTAACAAACTCTTTTGAGAAGCTCTACTATTAAAAGGGAGCAAAAACTGTCTCAGCAGTTAGAGGATATTACATCAGGAGAAAAGATTTGTTGTGTTCTTTTTTTAAATGCGAGAAATTATGGTATATTTGTTTGCTGATAGGAATGATTGAAGGAAAATTTGATGATGATGATAATTTTTCACATGGTTTTTAATAGCTTTTCAAACACTTTCTCAGACATTATCACATTTGCTGTTATCAACTACCTGATCAGGCATAAAAGGAAGTTATAATTTTTCCATTTTACAAATGAGGAAATTGAGGAATAGAAAACCTACGTGATTTTATCTGAGCAGGGTCCCAGGGAGCAGTCACTACTGGTGCTCAAACTACTTTCTGTGACTTCTGATTGTGGTCATGGGCTCTTTTTCAAAACCCATGATACAGTCAACTGTCTTACCTAGTTGTGGGTAAGTTGTAGGTAATTGCCTTGCCTAGTTGTACAGAAGTGAAAGGATGTGCAGAGAGAGAGTTGCAAGTTGAATTTGCACTACAGAGTAAGAGAAAATGTGGAGTGATAGAATCCAAACTCTTGGGGTTTTGCTAGGAAAAAAACTGATCATGCTTATTTGCTGCAGACCAGCTCAGTTCAAAATACAGGCAGTCTTGCAGGAACTAGACTGGCTTATAATTGTTCTCCATGAGCATCTGCCTGGCAGAGTTTTGCAAATGGAGGATATTTTAGTAATACTCATGAAATGAAATCCATTGATCCCATTCTCCTGTTCCCTCTTAGAGGTTCCATACACTTAGAAAAGTTGGGGCCAGCCCGGTGGTGTAGCGCTTAAGTTCGCACGTTCTGCTTCTCGGCGGCCTGGGGTTCGCCAGTTTGGATCCCAAGTGCAGAAATGGCACCACTTGGCAAGCCATGCTGTGGCAGGTGTCCCACATATAAATTAGAAGAAGATGGGCACAGATGTGAGCTCAGGGCCAGTCTTCCTCAGCAAAAAGAGGATTGGCAGCAGATGTTAGCTCAGGGCTAATCTTCCTCAAAAAAAAAAGAAAGAAAGAAAACTCTATTTGCTGTGGACAAATTGTTTGTCACAGATTCAGAAGTCTCTGAGACAGCTGCTCCCCTTGCAGAGGAGGATTAAGTCAGGGACGTCAGCCCACACCCAAACTCACTTGCTTATGGCACATTTGGGGCTCTGAGTGCATGTCCACCTAGGACAGCTGTCACCACCTCACCAGATCTCTGAGCCACCATCAGCTATGAAGGGTCAATGAAACTTAAAAAGAGATAAGATTAAACTGAACTATATCAGGTTATTTATTTAAGTGCATATGTGTAGCAAGAGCCCAGCTCCAGAAGGAAAGTATTTTTTTCACCAAATGCTTTCGTCCCTCTCTTGCAGTGAAATTACAGACAACCCTTACATGACTTCAATCCCTGCGAACGCTTTTCAGGGACTGTGCAATGAAACATTGACAGTGTGAGTATTACCAGTTCCACTGCTGCCAACAACTGAATTTTTATTTGGGCCATTGTCATATTTTCACAGGTCACCCAAGAACCATACCACCTTATAGTATGTGCTCTATAGTCTACCAAGGGTCGCACATAGTTAAATAAGAGTATTGCCTTATGGTATGGTACTCTGTAGAAGACGAAATGGTTTAGGTGACAAGACAAGAGTATTCCCTTATAGAAATGGTCAGCACACTTTATCTGTAAAGGGCCATTTAGGTTTTATAGACCACCTGGCCTGTGTGGCAACTGCTCAACTCTGCCATTTTAGGGCATTGAATATATAATACATCAGCTCATGAGCATGGCTATGTTCCAATAAAACTTTATTTACAAAAACAGGCAGTGGGCCAGATTTGGCCTACAGGCCTTTTGATATACTATTCTGTATTCTAGTATCTCCCTTGTGCAGAGGAAGAACCTGGGGTTAAAACTAATTTAAGTGACTTTCCGAAGGTCACTGAGTTAGACAATGGTGCTGCTGAGGGCTTTTCACACTCTCTGCACTCACACGTTCACTCCGTCATCACAAACCATTATCCAGCTCCTATAAAGGGATAATGAATAGAAAACATAGTGCTGCTCTACAGCATCATTTTTCCAGAGTTGGAATGGGTTCTGCTCTTTATGTTCAAAAGGAGATGCTTTATCAGGGAAATTCACAAAATGTTCTAATGGAGAAGATCTAATAGAGGTATAAAAGATAAGCTAATTCTCCAAACTGGTAGAGAATTCCCCTCTCTCGTGGAATTAGCCACAAAGTAGAGTTGGGGCTACATCCAAAGGATCCCTTCCTCTAGTTTCAGCATCACTAGCCAAGTTCAGGCCTCGTGGGTTCTTTGCTTGGATTGTCACCCAGCATCTGTTCTCTGGTCATACTACAGTCCAGGGGTTCTTTATCATATACAAACCTGAGTGAATTATTCCCCAGCAAAAGTGATCCAAGCTTCCACATAATTCTTCTCTGGGGCTATTTCCATGCCATTCTAAGTCTATCAGTCTAGGCCGTCTGAAGCTATCTCAACCTCTGGGACTCTAACTACAGCAAAGCATTTCAGTTCATTTTTCTCCTAGAACCCTGGGGAGAGCTCTCTTGAAAAGACAAAGACTCCTTCTCAGCTATCATTTCATTTGACAATACAACAAAGACCTGGGTCTTAGCCTGCTCAGTCCCAAACCTCAAGGCCATTTACCTCCTCTGTAAGGGTTTCCATTGTGCCATTTATCACTCATTGTACATAAACTCCATTCTCAGTTTCTTTACAGAATATTACCTTCACCTTTTGGCGTATTTTTCTAAGGACCCCATATCCCAAGCAGACCTCTAGGTGAGAGGTGCTCTTTGTTCCATACCTAGCATGGGACCCAGGAGGCATCTGATAAACATCTGAGTGAAGGAACCTCATCTTTCCAGAAATCTGGAGGTGGGAGTGGCATGGGTTATCCATTGTCTTTTCAGATGTTTATTTCAACATTCCTGAAAAAGTCCTTGCTTCTTTGAAGCTCATGCTCAAAAAGCTAGAAACATGAAAGGATATGTGTCCAACAGCAGAATTTGTATCCATATTCCTGGTAGGATAGTTTGAATTAAAGTTTGCAACCCTTTTTCTTTCTTTCTTCACTGTTTTTTTCTTCCTTTACTGTTTTCCCTTTTTAAGGCCTATTTGTCCAATAAGAGTTTTATTTAATCTCTGAAATGTAATTCCAACAAAGAAAATTTTTATTGTCTAAGACTCTCAACAGAGTTTGGGAAAATAGAAATACCAAATGTATAATTCTCACATCTTCATAAAAGAACTCTAGTTCAGGAAAAATTAACTTTTCCAGCAGAGTTTCCCAGCCTCTGGGCCTAGCATCACTGTGCATTGCAATCCTCCCCCAGGACACCTTAGTAGCTGGAATTAAACTCATTGTGTAATTATTTAAAACAAAGCAAAACCAAAACCAAACAAACATTACCTCTCAGTTCTCTGCAACTACATAGGATAAATTCAATTTTCAGTGTACTCCTTTTAACACAGTTGTCTCATAAGTGTCCCTCACTGTGTTAAACATTTATCATATTTTTACAGATAAGGAAACTGAGGATAATAGAAGTTGAGAAATTCTCGGGATCATCTAAAGTCTCTTGTGTGCTTCTTAATGCGTTACCAGAGTTCACAGGTGGTGAACTAGGTGGCTTTCAGAGTTCCTCTACAATTGCCACTAGCCGTGCCTGATTGTGGTCTTGGCTGCCTTCTCTTATCTCTTCCCAGTAGCCCCCAATAACTCCCATACATTTCCATAAGTTCCCATGGCTGGGGCTTCTTCTCCTGCCAAAATGCCATATGCTTTTGGTGGGTGGGAAAAATCTCTTTTGAGGTCAGAAATCCTGATTCCCAACAGCTCTGCATCAAGGTGGCTTTGAGACGTCACCTCCACATCTCAGTCTCAGTAACTTGACTAGGAAATAAAGGAGATACTTCATTCTGGAATCATTGTATGAATGAGTTAGTTGCAGAAACAGCAACAAGTTAAAACATTAAAATTTCCACAAAAGGCCTGGTCTATCTACTTTCTTAGATTTGTCATGGAAGTTCAATTTAATTCAACCCAGAAGCATTAAGGATTTAATCTATGATAAGCCTTGAGGATAAAAATATGGATAAAATACAATGTGAAATAACATTTTAAGTAGAAAAATATAAAACCTATGCATTCATGTGAATAATGTCTTTTAAAGTGTTCATCTTAAGGAGCTACAGTTATTCCTCCATTGTTGACTTTGGGTTAACTATTACCTGAAATCCCTGTTTTTTGAGTACATGTGGAACGTTTTTTAAAAGTCCTTAATGGTGGTAAATCTTTGTTCCTCAGAGTGAATCTGCTTCTGAGAAACAGCTTAAAGTTACTAGGAGCTAAGTCTGGGGAGTGGGGATTCAAACTGGGAAATACTATCCTATGTCCCAAACAAGACATATTGTAAAGTTTTCTTGTGGAGCTTGTATGTGGGACCTGAGAACATTTGTTCCCATTTCTGACACTGAAGAAATGAAGTCCAACCTTCAGAAGAAGGCCAGCACCACCTCTTATAGGTCACTGATTTCTCCTCTCTCTGTTGATTGTAGGAAACTATACAACAATGGCTTTACTTCAATCCAAGGACATGCTTTCAATGGGACAAAGCTGGATGCTGTGTAAGTCAAGGGTAGTTATGGAAACCGCAATCCTCTCCCACACTCCCACTGCCAAGAAAGACCATCCACTGAGTCAGAATTCTTCTAGAGATAGGTTCTACCAGAGCATTCCTCAACCCCAGAGTTAGTATGACCAAGACTTGAGGATGATGTTAAGGAATTTGGCAAGAGCCAACTTAGTGGACATTTCATTAACTCCAATTCTAAATCCCAAAGTTTTTTTCCTCAATAAAATGGAGAACCACGGTGTTACCTTCAGTTAGCTTAAAGGAGCATGTGTATGTAAATATTCTTCCAGTAGGTATATGAAGTAAAAATGTGTCTTTAATTAACTTCAAAGCTGTTCAGAAAGTAAGGTTTTTCTTTTAGCTTTTTTCTGACACATTTTCAGGAAAGCTGTCAGTTGATATTTGATTCACTCAGAAATAGCTGAGAAGCCATACCCAACTTTTGCCTTCCCCCTAAATAAATAATGCCAGGAGGAAGAGGTTGGCAAAAAGATAGCCATTGACACGGGTTTCTGTCTTTGTTGTGCTTTTCAATTACGCATTTGTGGTCCCAGTATCTACACCAGGGCATAAGTGTGTCTAAGAGCCATCCTGGTGTACCTTTTAACCTAATATCTAATAACTGAAAAATAGCTTTAGTCAAGTCTACTTCTCACACCATGGTGGACCAGTTAATTTGTAGGGCCCTCCTACTACAAACAACTAGATCATACATTTAAAAAAATACATTTTATGCCATAGCTCCAAGAGAGGGAAATAAAACAAACTAACAAACAAGGAGCTGAAAACAAAGTGGTGGGTGCTTACAGAGGGTGGAGTTCCCACAGGGGCAGCTGCGAACATCAGTGGTGCCAGGAGACCAGGCTTTAGCATAGTGAGAAGGCAGGGGAAGTGATGGAGACCTGAGACTCCTGGATTAATCCAGGGAACCTGGACGAGAGCTGGAGTGGTACTATGCTTGTAGTACCTCCTGACTCCTGGCAGAAATACATGCAAACGTCGACGGAGGAAAGAATCCCAGTGCAGGCTCCCAGATTTTTTAAAGATTAAAATCAAAAATGACACACAGGAGAAGAAAAAACCACCATGGGTAAGAGTCAGCTGAAGCAACAAACCACAGATTTGTATTTGATTTGCTTTATAACACTTTATTGAGTATTTTTTAAATAACAATTATTATTTTTCAATTCTAGAACTTCTATTTGCTTTTAAAAAAATTTGCTTGCTCATTTTTGACAGTCTAGTTGCTTACTCATGTTTTTGTGATTCCATCTTTTTTTTCCCCTTTAAACATTTAATACATAGTCATTTTATATTCCAGAAATGATTATTGGAAAATCTGAAGGTCCATGGTTCTAGATCTGTTGTGTCGTACGGTGCTTCACAAAATTTGTTTTTTTGAGATTTACAATGCAGAATCTGATTAAGTAGATCTGGGGTGAGCCCCAGATTCCGCATTTCTAACAAGCTCCCAGGAGATGCTGATGCTGCTTGTCCATTGACCACCCTTTAGCAGGGTGAGGTAAATAACCTGCACAACCATGTGCAGGGGCCCTGGATGTGAAAAAACACACATGTAGATTAAATGATGCTCTGGTTCAGGGATTAGGTAGTAGGTTCTGATGTTATTCTATTTTTAAAGAATAAATGCAAATAAGTTTTCAAGTCATTATACCTAAGCATGGCTTTCTCAGTTCCTTTTGAAATGAGGTCTCACTCTTTTCCAGGCTTTGGGTTCCCAGTAGTCTTTATCAAATGAAAAGTTGGAGTACCTTTTTCTAGATTGTCTAGTTGTGGGCTCATTCAGGCTGATAGTAGTCATTTTCTAAAATATATAATTATACAGGAAGTCTAAAAAAGATTCAATAACGTAACACGAATACTTCTACATCAAATTTATTTACAGTATTGGAAAGACCCTACTTCCATATTAACGTTATCACAGAAATCTCACACCATCCTTCATTTATTTTTCAATATATTTATTGAACACCTACAATGAGCCAGGTACCATGCTATTCACTGGTGATACAAAGATGAATGGGAGCAATGTGCTGCCTGCCCACACTGAACACACATTCCAGTGGGGTCAACTTGAGGGCAGCAATATTAATGGTCAATGTACATTAGGGAGAAATGTACCTAATCCAAATATGTATTTCAGATTGAAAATATCTGAAAACATTAAATAGCCAATAACATTGGCCTCCCTGCTTGGAGAAATAAGCTTGATTTTCCCTAGATTTATCGTGTCTTTTAAATGATTAGCATTCGGTTTTAATATTACATAAATCTAACCAAATATTTTCCTCTTTGATTCAACTATTCCTAGCAAGCCATGACCCTTAGGGACATGATCTTCCCAATTCAAATTTTCAATGAATGAAGTAGGGAATTGGGACCTCTTAAAATAACTAAGACAGTTTGTAGATATTCAGGTATAAAGATTTCAGAAGACTGTCACACTGTTCTAGACACTGAGGGTGTGAAGATGTTAACATTAAGACAACAGAGAACTACATTAGCAAGGACAGCGGAAGGGACAATAAAGCAACTTTCAACCAGAGCTGATTCAGAGCTTCTAAATTCGGTGTGTCCTGCTGATTCTTGCCTGAATCAAAACTACAAAGGACCAGAAACCAACATTAGATATAGGATAATTCACTTCTAAAACTTTTATTTTTGCACAAGCAAAAGATTTTAAAGCCAAAGATTAGGATTTATGCTTTAAATTATTTGCTTCTTTATCCTGCCATATTTAGGCATTGGAAGATATCACCCTCCATCACTCTCAGTTATCATTTTTTGACAGAGACTTTGAGTATAAAATTCAGACTTTAAGGTCTCCAGATCATGGTTCTCAATATTGGCTGCAAGTTGGAATCACTTGAAGAGATTTGGAGGCACTGATGCCTAGGTGTTACCACCAGACCTTCTGGTTTAATTGGTCTGAGTGTACCAGAGCATGGGGATTTAAAAATTTCCCCCTGTGAATCCAATGTAAAGGAAAAGTCAAGAACTGCTGCTGTTATCAATCTTCTTGTCCAATAGTCACATTTTACCTATGAGCAGAATGAAGCCCAAAGTGAACACGTGGCTTTGTTTTTTTTTTAACATGGCTTTTAAAATTTGATAGAGCTATCAAGTGGCCAAGCCAAAGCTGGGCCTGGATCCCCTGGTTCAAGACTCTTTTCTCTGTGCCCTGCTGGGATTCATTGTTGCTGACTTACCAGCCACCACCAAGGCTTGGACACCCAACTCCTCTGCCCACTATTGCCTCTTTCCTAGCCCAGGAGAATGTTTGCACTCTTAGCTCAGTCTAGTAAAGGCGCAAAATACAGAAGCTAAAATATCTTGCAGCTGGGAAGAGTGGACTCATGTGAGAGAAAGGAGGCCACTCAAGACTCAAGGCACAACCAGTAGAAGTTTCAGGGAACAATCAGACCAAGCAACGGTCTCATTGTCAGCGAGAACCTGACTTTACTGATGCAGCAAGGTCACCAACTCAGTGAGCTTCCAAATGAGCTCTGATCGGGGGACACGTTGATGGAAAGCATGGGATGGTAAAATGTGATTAAATTCAAAGAACTGGAGGTGAAGTTAGGCCGTGTTTGCTATCTTGCTTCAAACATCTCACAGCTGCTCATAATTGGCCTTTTGGTCATGTTTAGAGAGCTCCACAAAGACTTCAAGAGATTTCCAAAGTGAATCTCTGTAATCAGGAGACTACTGTGCTAAGTGGATCTCAGTGTAACTCTAGTAGCCGATTATTTTAGGGCTTTGGTCATAAAATCAGCCACAGATTATCAAAGGAGTTTAGAGACATTTTCTATTGAAAAGATGGAAAAACTAACAAGGGAATAATAATTTCTATCCTGGCTTCTCCCCAGCTTCTGTGGTAAGAGAAGAGATGGGCGAGAAAGCATTTCCCAAATTATGTTCCTTGAACTCTCTTTCCATGGCAAGTTAATGGGTGTTACTCTTTAAAAGCTATTCGTGACCTTAGAAAGTTAAACAAAAGTATACAGGTGGACTTCTCTGGTCTTTTAATAGAACAATCTGAATTACTAGTATCCAAGAGGGGGATATAGTGTGCAGAGTTTCCCAGGGAGCTCTTGGTTCCAGGAGCCTCTCTCTGAGATGGTGTTCCACAGAACACTTTTTGGGGAATGCTAATCAAAAGAATCTTTTAATACACCACCTTGTTGGGAGGCAGTTAAATTTAACAAGGTTTGTTCTAGAGGTGGCCTGTGGAGAATCAAAAAGTTAATAAGAGTTTCAGATCACCTAGCGGTCTTCTGAAATTAAACCTATGAAAAGATTATGTAAGGAGACTCTCTCTACCTTCCCACCAACTTTCTTCTCAGACCATACCATGGGCTCTGTGAAAGGCTCAGCTCATGGCAGAGTTATTCTGTTGCAGACAATGGATTTTACTTCACTGGTTCCCTGAATTATAGTCTGTTCTAGTCACTGTAACTATCCTTGAAATACAGGAAAGAAATCAGTGCACCATTTTCACTATACTTTCTTGATATTTTTATGTAAAATATTAAAGTTATTTGGAAGAGTTTAACAAATGTGGGAAATATTTCTTAATTGAGAATCATTTGCTTCTTGATTTTTAATAGTCTAGATCAGAAATCAGCAAACTTTTTCTGGAAAGGACCAGATAGCAAATATTTTGGGCTTTGTGGGCCATAGGATCTCAGTTGCAGTTATTCAACTCTGCCATTGTAGTGAGAAAGCAGCCACAGACAATGCATAACAAATGAGTATGGCTGTGTTCCAGTAAAACTTTATTTACAAAAAACAAGTGGCAAGCAGGATTTGACCAACGGTGATAGTATGTGGATCTCTGGTCTAGACGAAGGTATTACATGAGGATGACCATTGTGTGATGAAATATGTATTGTATTTCTCCTAATTCCTGGTAAAGGGCAAGCATGGTATCTGATAACCAGTTAATATCCAAAATATAAAAAGAACTCA